TGGTGGCACTGATCAAACTCAGTTATCTATTGACTTAAATTTATGTACATTTTTAAAGAGTTTTTTTTTTTTACTAAAAGATCACAACAACAACAACAAAAATTATATTTTATTTCATTTCAGTTGAAAAAAATTCGGTTGAATAACCGAAATAATGTAGGGTGTTATGGAAAGAGCGTTTCTTTTTCTCTCGAGCCATTAGTTGAGGTGAAAAATTAGAAAGTGTCTCACTTTTTTTTTAGTTGGATTTGCTAATAAAAAATAATAATGAAACTAGTTATGAGTCTGATTCTCAACAATAATATTTTTGTATTTTTAAATGGCGCATTGGAATAAAAACTGAGACATTTTCCCCCCAATTAGAACGAGATTCAAGGTGAAAAATTGCAGCACCCAACTTTTCTTCTCAATTGTGACTTTTAATCGAGAGGATAATTGTGGAGAGATAACTTTTACCTTCGTTTAAGAGGTCTAATTGAGGAGAAATCCATTGTTTTTTTTAATTTAGAAAATTTTTATTATAATTTCTATTTTTATGAAATAAAATCTAGATGTCAATTTTTTTTTACCTCATTTTAATACATTTTTTTAAACATAACCTAAATGATACATTTATGAAACAAAACTATACATTATATATCAAAATGGCACATCTTGTACCAAGACTATATATTATTTACATAATAACCAAAATGGCACACATTATGTACAAAGCTATACATTATTTACATCAAAACCAAAATAGCACACGTATTATATTAGATGGTTAACAAATAAGGAAAGAACCAACAAACCAAATCAGCATGCGCATGACTCATAAAACTCAAGGAAACAAGATGCCAAATGTGAGCGAATGTCATATATGTCTTCTTCTGTGAATGGTGAATGGTCGCTAAACACCTATAAGTTGAATGAAGTGTAAAAACACTTAGAAATAATAACTCTGACTTAAAGGTTTTCATATCTTTTGTGTTTGTGCATATCAAGAAAGAAAAATTTGATGCTAGAATTGTGAAGTGTGTCTTCATTGGTTATTCAGAATCTGTGAAAATTACAATTTGTGAAAGATAGAACCTGGACAATCAAAACGTATTATAAGTAGAGTTGTAAATTTTGATGATACATGTATGGATAAGAAATGTAAAGACCAATAAGTTAAAGACTATGAGATTAAGGTGGAGAAAACTCAAATGCAGGTGAAAGTTATTACTAATGAGACTAGAGATTATGAGAATCTTAAAGCTCCCATTTATAATTATAGGAAATGGCAATCTACAGTAGCTCTAGACTATCAGTTGAATCGTATTAGGGTGATCAAAGAGATTGTACCACCTAAAAGATATGTTTATCTAGATCTTATTCGTTATGCTTTAAGTTTGTGCATGAAGGAATGAAAAAAATTAGAATAAAAACCAACCAAAGAGACAAATGAACTAAAAGAGAGAGGCAGAAATGGTTGAAGGAAGTGAATGGGTAAGTGCACTCATTAGAGAATAAACATACTTGAAAACTAATTTAGCGACAAAATGTAATTTGATGCAGTTGGACCTTCAAGAAAAAGGAAGAAAAAGGGAGAAAAATTGAAAATCGAAGCTCCGAGGTATAAATCATGACTTATGAAAAATATTTTAACTTAGATAAAGTGAATTTATTATAATGAAATCATTTCACTTTCGATATAGAATTAATCCATAAAGTTCTTTATGACTCCTATGAATCAATATAATGTTAAGTTTTTTTTAATCAAAATAACTTTGTATTAATTTAAAAAGCCAACTAATACAAGATAATCGCATGGATCCAACCCACCAATCTGACAAAACAAACAAAAAATAAACTTACTACATCAACCTTATTATATGTGTTCTAAATTTCTCATTATACCATCATCTATAAACTATAATATTAATAATATTTTCCATTATCTTTGTATTATCTACACTACTGCCAAAACATTCATCATTCTGATACTTCCGAGTTTCATAAATAGTCTCAATTAAATTCAAATTTAAGATAAATGCTTTCTAAAATTTACCTTTACTATGCATTATAATCCATTTCAACTCATCCTGTCATTCCTTGGGATCATGAACCACTTGAATCCCCTCAAGAAATTTCCTCCAAATATTTTTCAATTCGGTGCAACCATAAAACACATGGTTGGTGGTCTCTTCCTTAAGACAAAAACAAAAAGTACTGCTATCCAATATACCAAACCGAAACAACCTATCTTTAGTGGATAGTCTACCATGAAAAGAAGGCCAAAATGTCATCATTGCTCTTGACCTTGCAACATTACCATAGAAAAACTTATTTCAAAGCAACTGTTCATGCTCATCATTCTCATCTTCATGTTAAGTTGATGCAAGTGAGTGTTAAGAAAATTTCTTACATGGAGAGATTGAAAAGACAATCTACATGAAATAATCCGAATGATTTATAAAGGACAAGTTTAAAGCGTGTCTTTTAAAGAAATATTTATATTGGTTGAAACAAATCCCAAGGAAAAGGTATCGTTAATTTGATGAATTTATTTTAAAGAACAAATTTTTTGATAAACGAGAGTATGGACGTAATGTGTGCATATTAAAGATGAACGTAGAAGTCATACCTACTTCTCTATGTTGATGATATCTTGTTAAGAAACTCTAGTGCGAAAGAGATTGATAAACTCAAGATGATATTGAATGAAGAATTTGAGATGAAAGATCATCGGGATGAATATCATGAGAAAATTTGAAATAAATAAGTAGTTCTTATCTCAATCTAGTTACTTGAAAAAAGTAGTAGAGCAATTTAAAATACTTGTTGTTAAGACTGCCGACACTCATTTAGGCCATCACACAAAATTTTTGGTTGCACAATTTCCTAAAGCCAAGGATGAAAATAATGATATGAAGAGTACTTCGTATGCAAGTGGGATTGAAAGCATCACGTACGAGATAATTTGCAATAAATTGAACTTATGATATGTCATTAGCATAATATGCTAGTTTATAGAAAATTTAGGTCAAGTGTATTAGGAAGCATTGAATTGGATGGATTAACATATGTCATTAGCATAATAGGCCAGTTTGTGAAATATTTGGATCGAGTGCATTGGGATGTTTTGAATTGGATGTTAAGATATTTGAATGGGTCTTTAATTATACGAGAGATTGGAAAGACACTTTCAAAAATTATGTGGGTGTTGACTATGCAGGAAATGTGAACACTAAAATTCTTGTGCTTTATTTTCATTTTTATTTTTGCTAGCTTGTGAAATCACATACATTAATCTTTATTTTTGCTAACTTGTGAAATCACATACATTAAATTGATAGATTAATTATTGTTTCAGTAATTTAATTTAGTTGTTATTATTGTTTATCTTACTTATTTATATTGTGATCTATGATGTTAACATTCGGGTTATATTACAATTAGAAGTGATAAACGAATATGACCGTTTGGATACGCTCTACAAAAACTTTAAAATAAATAAATATAGATATAGTAAATGATGTGAATAGGGTAGACCCGATGACATTTGCACCTTGAAATCTAAAAGTCGTAAATTTCATATTAATATTTGCAAAAATAAAATAAAAATTAAAAAAAATACAACCGACATAATAGAAAATCATAATCTAAAACTTCGACATATCTAAAAAAAATTACAAACATGCTTGGTGGATTGGACTCGTTTTACCATCCTTATTTAAAAGAATCTATTTATAACTATTATTTTTATAATTGGTGATAAAATTTATCAAAAAAACACAGTCCACTCACACATCAAGCAATAAATTAGGTTGGGAGGTACATTGTCGAGTAGCATTCGATTTGATTAATGATAAAAACGGTATAAAAACAACACTATTCCTAGTATTATTTATTACACAAATCCAAAATCCTTTTATGACTAGTTATTATGGATAGTGTTCATTTTGTATCTTAATCCGTGACACACGAGAAATGTTTAAACAGTAAAAGGTAACCCTCAAACTCATAGGGTACTTTCCCTACACGACACACCACATGTGTCAACCTTTCACACCAAACTATTAGCATGAGAGTAACTTTGACATTTTTTTCCAATTTGCAATGAATGATGTGTTGTTGATTGATAAATACTGTGAGAAAAGAACACTGAAATTGGCTTTATTTAGGAAAAATACAGTAATTTGTCAAATATTGGCGAGTGAGATTTTTCTTCTGCCTCTTCAATTATGTTAAGAGACAACTACTAGTGTATTTAAGAAGTTTGACCTAACACAACCCTATAAAATCGGTTGGTAAGGTGAGGGGTGGGTCGCCCAAGGTTTGATTGATAGGATCTGATACCATATTAGAGTTTGGCCTAACACAACCCTACAAAACCGGTTGGTAAGGTGAAGGGTGTCACTCTATATAAACTATTTCAATGCTCTGTCTCCAACCAATGTAGAACTTTAGGATCTTTCTAATATGATGTATAAAATTTATTGCAAACTTAAACAATTAAAGTTTTCAAATGCAAATCACTTTAGTTCAAGCTTAATTAATTTAAGCTAAAATTAAGAATATTCAAAACCTATGTAACACCAACAATTTAAATAGAAATAATATATGATGTTTCACTAATATGTTCTTAATCTCCACAATTATAATGAATCCATTGTCACAACAACAAAACTCATAAAATAAAAAACCAAAAGAAGATACAACAACAAGATATCTTGCTAGAAATTAAGGTTTTTCACAAAATTCAAAGACCATACATAAGCTATGTATGATTGTTTAAAGTTTAAACATCATAATACACAAAGACCAACACTATCATAGAAAGATCAAAGAGATTAATTACAACTCTAATTAAGTGCATATTTGTATTGACGACGAGTCTGACAGAATCACGGTATATTAAGGCGTGATTTTGACAAATAATACACTTTAAAACTTCAATAAAATCTAAATTCACCGCGAATCCAATCCAAACATGCACTTAGATTACATAGATTACAGAACCACCTTGTAGATTACCTTTTGGAGAATCCTAGGAATCCAGTATTAACCTTAGTGCTAGTTGAACGAGGAAGACCAAAACATAGTATTGAAGTAGGTGAATCAACATGTTCTTCTTCTCCTTTAAAATCAAAAGATGAACCACAGCTTAAGAAACGTTTCTTTGTTCTAATAACCTTCCTTATAGGAACAAGTTTAGATGAGTTAGATGAAGAAGAGCATGAAGAAGAAGAAGATGAATTAGAAGGTGAAAATGATGATAATGATGATGATGTTGATGATGAAGAAGAAGACATGATGGTTTTCTTAAGATTTAGTTTTGGGAAAAGTGCAAGAAAAAGGTTAGATCTCAAGTTTCTCTTAACAGGTAATGATTTGCATGAATAATAAGAAGGTGGAGGAGTGAGAGGAGGAAGAGATTGTTGAGAGAGAGTGTGTTTAGGTGTGCCAGGTTGAGATTCCCAAACAAAAGGGACAGTTAGAGCTATTCTAAAAGATGGATTGGAAATGGAACTTTCTTTTGTAAGAAGTCTGCAGAAAAACTTGTCATCTTGTTTGATTTGGAGGATTGTTTTTTGGGTTGGATCAGATTTAGAAGTGAACATGTTTGAGCAAGAATTTTGGTTTATGAGTTTGTTGAGTGAGATTGAATGAATGATAATGTGTGAAATGGGGTGATATAGAGATTTGGAGTTTGTCTTTATTTAGATTTAAATAATGGTTTTGAGTGTCATGTTCAAGTGAAGTCAGCACTTTTGCATGTATATCTTTTAATTAGTTATGGCTAAATTTAAATATTAAGTAATATGAAACACATGCAACTCTATTATTGAAAAGTGTTGGTATTAATATAGCACACTATTTATGATCTTAATGTACTACCTAAAATTTGAAAGAAAAATGTTAAAACAAATTTAACCTATAATTTCATTCAATTTAAAGGACGTGTTCACTCTCTAATTCGTTTCACTTCCATAGATCTGAGACGCTGAAGCGTCTCAGACGGATTTGGTCCAGTCTAAAACATATTCTCATACCATATTTAACATCAGAGTTGAGTCCAATATATAAAAAGTACTCTTCTTAAATTAGTTTAATTTATGTAGACTTGAACATTTTCCCACATGAGTTGCTTGATCTAGCACCATGATCTACCCAAATAACATGCTAAATTTAAGGACTACAAAATAGTCAAACATGAAAATACTCACTTCATAGGGTACCTAACATGCCACATTAATAAGGGATACTAATCAATTCTTATTGTATTGTAATAAATAAATAAAATCAAGAATTTTCTTGTGTTACGTGCCCTTCACATGCACCTTCCATGAACTTACGCCATTTATGAAGACAGAAAATTGGCCATATGTGTTTGAATTGAATAATGTTAGCTAGGCCATTGTTAATTAATAAAGTATAAATGAATTGGAAAAAAAGATCACCTAACTATGAACAATTGTGTGGTCCATCTCCATCATTTATGATATGAATTAAATTTGAGTGGATTGTAGTCATTGTCTGTGACTGTGAGTGTTACTTAAGGTAAGTTCGTGGGACTTTGTGTTTGGACATGATACCATTATTAGAAATATCTATCTATATGTGTATAGTTTTCTTGTGAATCATGTTATAACTCATAATCACAAAGCTATAAAGTTGAGGTTTATAGTTATATAACTTGAATAAGAATTTATGAAACCTTCTTTTCAAGTGATCCTTTCCTTATAAGTTTCTATTTTTAGCAAAGAAAAATCGTTTAATATTGTTGAACAACTAAGAATATGCATGACATGATAATCACATTGATTCTACTCTAATGAAGTAAAGAAATGAAAGAATGTACTAACTAGCTTTATGTACAAGTAACTAACATTAAGTGTGAAGGGATACATCATCATCATCATCATGAATCTTATAGTGTAATAGTCTCTCAAAAATTGAAAGATGATAGATATTTATCATATTCAACTTGATTAGAAAAACATTGAATGGTTAAGAACGAAGAAATATGATAAAGGGTTATGCTAGTTCTCCTTTGGAAGATACTAATGAAAGTTTTATGATCTCAATTTAAAACTTCTTTCAAATAAAATGACAAATTTTTTCTAGATGTTTTGTCATTAAAAAATTGGATTTTCCATTACATGTAGAGTATTAAGATAATCACAGTAAATTAGTAGCTTTAGATATTTGATTATAAATAATCATTTTCGTTCATAAATAGGACTAGTAGAACATGATACTTTGCCTAAAAGAAACATTTGATATTGTAAGTTGTTTCTTAGTTCTCCAAATGATTAAGAACTTGACAAGAGAGAAGCAGTGTCAAGAGATGGATATTTTTGATTCAACACACCCTTTTCAATTAGCATCGACAAAGTGTTAAAGCTCTTGTGGCATAATTAAAATGGCATTGGAAGGAATAGATAGAGATTGCCTCAGTAGTTATTCATGAAGGTAATATCAACTTTGATTGTGGTGAGATAGAGGAGAGCACATATAGTTCCTTTTTATTTCTTTGAAGAAATAGATTTACATGTCACATGCAATTATATATAGAAAGGAGAGCACACTAGATTGTGACCTAAAAAGAGTCGTCAAGATCTTTTTGAGTAGGGTTAGTAGGTTTATGAGTCATTGAGAAAAAAAATGAAAACATCAATAACAACACCTTAAACTCTCAAATATGATTTATAAAATAGTGTGGGAAATATGAAAGTTTCAACCAGGGTGTCACATTAACAACTTCCGTTTTATCAGGAAAAGGCAGAAAATCAATAACATAACATTAAAAACTTAATTTTCAAATAAATTAAAGTAATAAGACATAACAAGGTAATTTATTCAACACAACTTAAAAATGTTGAAAAACTCAACATGATGTTACAATATCAGAGCGACACTGGCTATAAATCTAAACAGCCGACAAAGATACGACGAACATAAACAAAACAAACTAGTGAAGAGGCCAACTACGCCATCCTCAGTAACCAATATATAATCACTATTCATCTTGAATATGGGAATCACCTGTATCAAATGTAGCAGTAGAAAACATAGAAATAAGAAAAGGGTGAGAATACATTCATATATGATAATGATGCATAAAACAGTAAGGATAGTTTGATGTGAAATTACGACACAATAATAGTATAATACGCAACGAATATAAAATTCCACAGACTTGTAGAAACCTTGAGGATGAACAACAAATATAAGACGATAAATTGAACAAATAAATGCACAAAAGAACATCGATATTTAAACGTGAAAAACTTCTCAGTATGAGAGTAAAAACCACGAGTTGTCCTAACCAAATAAATACTCCAATATAATAAATTAAGGGTACAAGAGAGCCTTAAAGTCATTCATAAAATAGTTCTAACAACCGCAAAACACAAAGTAAACAAGCTTACAAATAAGAATCAAAAAGTTGAAAATTTTCCCAAATCTGCAGCTTCAGTGCGATGCAGACAACTCACAACTCAGATGTTGTTTTAAAATTCATAACTCTCAAAAGTTGTATACGTTTTTTACGAACCCACCCTCCAAATTTGGGCTTGACCTGACAATTAACGGATCGGGGATCGTTGATTTAGTGAGACTGGTTGGAGAAAAATGAGAATGAATTTTTCTTCTCTTTTCCCTCTTTTGAATCCTTATTTTCTCTCCATCTCTCTCTAATCTAAATTGATCTTCTCCATTTAAATAAGTTATAGAAATGGTCTAATCATGTTTGGGTCTTTCTCCACATAGGAAGGGAGCCCAAACCCAAAACATTCCCCCTCACAAATATGTGGAGGAAATCAGAAAAATGACGACATCACAATAAGCTTCAAATTTTCCTCTTGGTAAAGTTGTAGTCATCATATCAGAACAATTACAATATGTATGAACTTCAGCTAACTACAACAACTTAGCATCCAAAACATCACGTATCCAATGATATACCACATCAATGTGTTTGGACCTATTATGGAAAACCAGATTCTTACCGAGATGAATAAGGCTTTAACTATCAACAAATAACACATTTGTCTTGAACAAAACCAAGCTCATACAACAATTTCTTTAACCATAGTAACTCTTTGCATGCTTCGGTAATTACAACGAACTAAGTCTCTGCAGTATACAATGCTACACACTTTTGCAATATGGACTGCCAAGCCACGACTCCCCCTGCAAATTTAATCATGTAGCCCGAATTAGAGTTTCTAAAATCAATGTCTCCAGCCATATCATAGTCAAAGTACCCAAATAGAGGATGCTTATCTCCTCAAAAACAAAGCCTCGCAGAAGTAGTACCGCGAAGATACCTTAAAATCCGTTTTACAGCATTCCAATCCTCTATACCTGGATTTGACAAAAATCTATCGAGTGTACATACAACATGTGTTATATTTGGTCTTGTAGACACGATTACAAACATCAAACTATCCACAACAAACACATAAGGAAGACGTTTCATATCAAGCGCTTCATATTCACTTGGAGGACTTTGATTAGAACTCAACTTGAAATAAGTAGCGAGAGGCGTGCTTATCGCCTTAGAACTTTCCATTTTGAATTTTTGCAGCACTATTTCAATATAATGTTCTTGTGACATCTAAAGTTTCTTCTCTTTTCTGTCATGCATGGTCTAATGCCAAGAATCTGTTTAGATGCTCCCATGTTTTTCATGGCAAATAAATCTCGCAATTTCTTTTTTAACCTATTAATGTTAGAAATACTTTTCCTTACAATGATAATATCATCAACATATAACAACAGGATAATAAAGTTATCGTTAGAAAATTTTATTACAAAGACACAATGATTTGAAGTAGTCTTCTGGTATCCTTGATCACACATAACATACTTAAACTTCTTGTACTATACCTTAGAGCTAGCTTAAACCCATATAAAATCTTTCTCAATCTACATGCATGATCAACACCATTTCTTTGACGAAAACCTTTCACTGCTAATCTAGAATTATATCTTGGAGACTTAGAGTTGCTCTCATGTTTAACTCTATAAACCCATTTGTTTTCCGAAGCATTTTTGCCTTTAGGAAGCTTTACTAAATCATAAGTGGGATTATCATGCAATGATTTCTTGTCATCATGCATTGCATCCATCCACTTTTATTTTTTATCAGTTTCCATGGCCTCCTGAAAATACTCGGGTTCATACTCATCAGTCAAGGTCACATACTCATCAGAATTATACCTTGTAGAAGGTTGTCTCTGCCTATTAGACTTCCTAATGTTCACTTGAGATGATTCTGGAGCTTCACCAAGATTCTCATCCTGTGACATATCGCTTTCCCCTTCACCATCATTAGTTGAAATATTTACATCATCTCCAAGTTGTTGATCTTCAACATAATCATATGGCTCATTATTGTGATCATCACCACAAGTAGCATCCAAATTATGACTAGGTAACTGAACTGGATCAACATTATAAAACTGATATCTTTCTTGGGTGTAGCCTTCTTTACCTTATCAATGTCTTCAATAGTATGGTCTTCCATAAGTACCACATCGTGACTTTGAATAAGCTTCTTCCCTATAGGATCATACAACTCGTAACCACACTCACTTGCCCATAGACGTTA